AACAGCCCCCACCCCAGGTTTCTCTTTTATTTAGAAGAAATTTTGAAAGGAAATGAAGTTGATGATGTTAAAGTCTCAAGAGGGAAAAAAGCTTCTGAAGTAGATGAATTTTTCAGTTAATTTAGTCTCCTCGGACAAAGAGCTCTCTTGAAACTCGGGGGTTCTCTGGACAGCTGCAGGGGACAGGGCCTCGTGTGGCCACTTTTGCTCCCCACCCCAGGTGGAAGCCCCAAGCTTTACTTATTTATTTATTTTTGAAAATGTTCATGTTTCTGCCATACTGGCATGCAAAGTTCCAAAACTAACACAGACTCTCCTTGTAGCTCTGTGACCAAAGAGGAGTCACCTGACCCAGTCACATTTTGGGTTTTCCACTTCTGCAATAGCGAGATGTAGCTTCCGTCCTGAACGCATCTCACAACAACACACTGCTTTTTGGCATGTACTTGTCATCAGCCTCGGCCACTTACTAGCTATGCTTCACTTGGTACCACTCTGAGCCTCAGTTTCTACACCTGTGTAAAGAGAATACTATCTTGTCTACCTACCAGGGATAATGGGAAGTTCAAGTACGTCTACATGAAAATGACATGGAAATGATGAAGAACAATGTGAATACGAACTTTTATGTTCATGTTGTCTGTTTCTGTCTTCTTTTTTTCTTTCCGACTTTAGTTCCCTCCGTCTTTTCTTTCTCTCATGCCTTCTCTCTTTCTTCCAAACCAAAATAAGTGCTACAGTGCATGCGTTAGCAGGGAGGGGTGGAGACAGGAGCGTGGCTGGGGCTCTGTGTGCTGGGAAGGGTTCCGGGAGGGTGCGGCAGTGGTGGAGGAGGGGCAGGTGCACCAGGAAGAAGGAACGGGCAAGAGCAGGTCTGAGAGGTTACGGGCCTTTCAGGGACACTGAGTGACCCCTGGTGTGAGGATGGCCTGCCAGGCTGGGTGAGTGTCCTCTCCCTCCATGGAGATTGGAACAAAACTAGACCAAGAGAACAACTGTCCCGAGACAGGACTAGTCACTAGTCAAGCAGTACGTAGAAGGTGAAGCTGGACTAGAAGTACATGACCAGCGAGATTGGAGAGTGAGCCAGGCTGATTGTGAAGGACCTTGACTTTCACCTTGAAGAGTTTTGGCATTTACTCTGTAAAGGGCAGAGGAGCATGGAAGTTTGGGAGTAGATATGAAGTCTCTGATCGGTGGAATAACTTTATTAAAATTGTTGTCGGTGGGAGTGCAGTGAGGAGGCTCTCTCAGGGGCTTTGGGAGAGATGACGTGGCCCTTTTCTGACAGAGAAGAGCCGGCTCTCTCATTGTCGTCTGCTTCTGGGGGGAGCCTTTCTGGCTTCGTCTTTCCTCTCAAAGAAAGAGAATTCATTTCTCACCTGCGTTTTGAAAATACTTTTTCCTAATTGAAAGTATCGTGCTTATTATCATGATTTATGGCTTAATATTTACATTTTTTTTCTGTTTTCCTGACTAGGGTATGAATGAATTAAAATTAGACTGTGTATTATTTTGTTTTTATAGAATGAGGTCCCTGCACAGTGCCTGGTACCTAGTAGGTGATCAGTAAGTGTTTGTTACATGAATGAATGAATGAATGAATGGACAAACTAGGGTGGTGGTGCTGTGAGTGTAAAGAAGAGGATGGTTATGGAAAATATCCAGGAAGGAGAATTAATGGACAATTAGATGGATAAGTGAGGGAAAAGGAAGAGTCAAAGGTGAGTTTGAGATTTCTTCTTTGGACCTCTGTGGGATGCCATTCAATGAGATTTGGAGCCCAAGAAAAACATTATTTGAGGAAGGAAGATAATTTTAGTTTTGGACATTTATTAAAGAAAAATCTATTAACCCCCTCAGATCTACTAGGCACTATGCCAGGTGCTGGTGATTCTGAGGCAAATAGGTCAGAATGCAGTTCACAGTTTGAAATAGCCAAATGACAGACCAAAGTGTCATAATAGGTGTGAGCAAAGTGCCTGGTAGAGGAGATGACCGAGCCCCTCATTCTGTCTGTGAAGTTAGGGATGACTGCTTTGAGTGACACTTGAGATGAATCTTGAAGTTTGTCAAACCAAAGAGCATTCCAGGTAGAGAGGAAAGCATATGCAGTACAGTGATAAGAATATTCTGGAATGCTTGGGGAGCAGTGAGAGAGTCATCGTGGCTCTGGAGAAAGAGCTAGGTGGGCAGTGGTGAGTAGTGAGGTGGACAGGGTTCAGCACTGCGTCACGGCAGCTCGGCAGCCTGCTCAGGAACTTGGTGCCTTTGTTGTAGTTGACATAGGGTCAGAAAATATTTCTAAGCAGGGGGTGACATGGTCAGACTTGCTTTAGAAATATCATGATGGCTACAGATGGGGCCTGGGCCAGGCGGGATTGAGGAAGAGGATTCCTTCGGAGCCTCTTGCCATGCACTGGGTATAGGATGAAGAAGGCGGGACTGAGTCTTGGGTGGGGCAGGTGGTAGTAGGAGATGGGGGTGAGAAGGGCCACACTGAGGGAGGGAAAGACATGGGGCCTCTGTCCTGGAGCCCTGGGTGACACATCCTGGAACCATCTATGTGGAAATACTTATTGGAAAGCTCTGGATCGCAATAAAACCGTTTTAGTTTCAGAACCTCCTTTCACTATTAAAAAATATTAAGGACCCCAAAGAGCTTTTGTTTATAGGAGTTATATCTATTGGTATGGATCTTATGAGAAACTAAAATTAAGACATTATAAAACATTCATGTTTCAAAATAATAATAAACCAATTACATTACTGTAAATGGCATTTTTATGAAAAATAACTCTACTTTCCCAAACCAAAAATTTCGTAAGAAGGCTGGCACTGATTTACATTTTTGCAAATCTCTTCAATATTTGGCCTAATAGAAGACAACTGGAATCTCATATATCTGCTTCTGCTTTCAGACTGTTGCAATATCACATGACACGCAACCTCTGGAATACTTCACAGTACTCCATGAGAGGATGAGAGTGAAAAAAAGCGAATTACGCCTTAGCATGATTGTGAGAATAGTTTTTACCTTGAGATTGTCTTGGGTCCCCTTCCCAACACACACACAAGTTTTTCTGGACCACACTTTGAGAACCACTGACGTAGGCTCAACAAATGTCTGGTGAATCACAGTCCTCTGAATTCCCGTAGCAGTTTATTCAAATAGCATTCATGGCACTTATTGCACAGATTTATAACTGTGTGTGCCTGGTGCTTAGCAAGGGATCTGAGCCGGAAGTGCAGTCGTGAGCTCATCCATAGGAGGGGCTGGGGAAGAGGGTGAAGAGGAAGAGAAGAGGTCCCGGGCAGGACCTCATCATTGAACAAGTGACCAGAGGCTAAGGAAAGAGCTGGAAAGATTTAGGAGGAGACTCAGACCAACTTGCGCAACCTAAGGGAGAAGAGAGTTTCAAGAAGGAGGTCACCCACAAAGCTTTGATTTCAAATAACAAGTTAGGGAGTGGTCCCCAGTGTCCAACGCAGCGGAAGAGGTTGTGTCAAGCGAGGAATGCAAAGTTGCTGTTGGGTCTGGCAGTCAGGAGGTCACGGGTGACTTCGGAGGGCAGTTTCCATGTTTCAGCAGTCGGTGGGCCCAGACAGAGTGGGCGGTGACTCGTGGGAGCTGCAGCAGAGGCCTCTCCGTCCAGGAAGCTGTCTGAGAGATGCCCTTCACCTGCCAGCCCCTGTCATTGTTAGTGAAAAGAGAGATGCGCACGGATGTTCCGCTGAGCACGGGTGATAGCAGGGGCCCTGGGTGACACATCTATCATCTGCCGTACGGTTAAACGCTATTCATCTGACATACGGTTAAACACTATTCATTCATTCATTCCATCTGACATACGGTTAAACGCTATTCATCTGACATACGGTTAAACGCTATTCATTCATTCATTCACTACTTAGCAGGAGAGGCAAATAGGATTTGCGGTGTGTGTGAAAAGACATTATATCTTTTCATTCTTTATACTTCTGCACTGTTTCAAGTTTTCCCAGTAAATATATTTTCATGATTATTTATCTGTATTTTAAAATGTCTTTTGAAAGATGTAGGTCTTTGTGAGTAGAAAGGAGAAAGAGACCCTGTTTGTCCAGAGTGTTCTATTGGTTTAATCAACTTTTTGTAAACATCTGGCTGCAGCCCCCACCTGCACCCGCCCCCCCCCAAAGGTGTAGGCCTGGCAGTGGCACCCCAGTGGAAAGGATCACACTTGGGTTAGGACCTTTTATTTTAGAGCTTTAGTATGATCTCAATTAATTGCTAGAGGAAGCTAATGTAGTGCACAGAGCTGAATTTAGGTTGGAGCCCTGCATTTCTGGGAATAGAATTTATTAGGGAGTATTTTTTCTTGTTTTAGCTGAGGAGCTGTATTTGTTTACCAAGACTGCCATAAGAAAATACCACAGACTTGGTTATATATAATATATACTTATTATTACCATTATTATTATTGCCTCACAGCCGTGACGGCTAGAAATCTGAGATCAGGGTGTCGGCAGGATCGGTTTTTTCTGAGGTTTCTCTCCTTAGCTCAGATGGCTGTCTTTTCCCTGTGCCTTCCTGTGGTCTTCTCTCCGCACCCATCTGTGTCCAAACCTCCTCTTTTTATAAGGACCCCAGTCATTGGATCAGGGCCCACCTTAATGAACCTGATTTTAACTTCATTACCTCTGTAAAGACCCTATCTCCAAATAATCACATTCTGAGGTACTAGGGGTTGGGCTTCAAAATATCAATCTGGGGGGACACGATTCAGCCCAAAACAAAGCCTCAGACACATTTTTTTGGCCTCTGTACAAATGTCTTGAGTGCTGTGTGGCCTGCTCAGCCGCCCTTGGTGCCTCTGGCCCGTGACTCCTGCGGGGGCGCGTGTGTGGGGTGAGGGCCTTGGAGACACCACTAGTAAAAGCAGCGTGATTGCATCTGTGGCTCCCCAACCACTGAGCAACTGAAAATCCCCACGGGGACCAGGCGACGACATGATTTCCTGACAGATAAAGTGGGGAGAGAGCAGAGATAACTTGCCTTCGGTAACGTGACAGGCCTCTAAGAAAACACCTGATGGATGCTTTTTCTCTTTAGCTCATGCCAGTGAAGCTCTGCCAGGAGGAAGCCAGGGGCGGGACTCTTGCCAGAGGCCGGGCTGGCGCAGCATGGAGCACTCAGGCAAGATGGAGTTTTTCCAGAAGCTCGGCTACAACCGGGAGGACGTGGTCAGGGTGCTGGGCAAGCTGGGCGAGGGCGCCCTGGTCAACGACGTGCTGCAGGAGCTGATCCAGACGGGCAGCCGCCCGGGGGCCCACCAGGACAATGCCGCGCCTCTGCTCGTTCCCAGGGGCTCCTGCGGGACCCCTGACTCTGCCCAGCGTGGGCGCGGGGCTGACCTGGAGGACGAGTGCGGAGACCCAGCCAGTTCCTTGCGACCCATCGTGATCGACGGCAGCAACGTGGCGATGAGGTAGCCGCGGGGTGGGAGCACTGTCCTATTTCTTGCAGGTTTGGTCCAAAGAGCGTGGGGCCAGTGGATGGGACTTTGCCTCCCTGTTCTACCCCTTAGTAGCTGTGTGGTCTAAAGTAAGTCACTTAACCTCCTTGAGCCTCACTTTTTCCACATGTCATGTTGTCATAAAACCTCCCTACAAGGGAGCTGCACAAAATGCCTAGGACAGCACTGGACACATGGCAGGGGTTCAGTGAGCGGTAGCTATGATGTTAACCTAGAGAGAGGGAGGCCCTCTGCTGAAGAAGGCAGTGGATAGCTAGCTGGGAGGAGCGGCTTCTTGTCTGGAGTCTGTCCCTATCCAGCTGTGTGGCTCTGGGAAAGCCACAGTATTTCAAGTTTCCTCTTCTGTGACACAGGCCAAGAGACAGCTCTTCCACTTCCCTCAAGGCGGTGAGAATCAGTTGGGAAAATGTACTTGAACTTCGTTGGAAGCCCTCTGCTGGGGGTTATGAGAAGGGGGTGGCTGGTTCCCTGGCTCGGTCTGAGAGGTGAGCCCGTGGCTCCTGAGCGGACGACGCGGTAGTTAATATCTGTGTATTGGCAACTTCGTGTGCTTCGGGGGTGAGAGTGTCACGCCCCGCCTTGCTCTCTCTCCTGGTGAGGCTACGAATCTCACCAGCCTGCCTCCCCCACACTCCCTGCCTGGCGAGCAGGAGGCTTTGCCCAAACAAATGCATTATTCTACTACTTGGCTTAGTTACAGTGGGGCAAAGGGCAGAGCCATAGGAAATCTGTCATTTGCAGCTGCAAATAGATGCACTTCCCTTTTCAAAAGCTGAGTCATGGGTGGAAATTGAGAAAAGTGGTGTTATCAGCAGCGTGGAATGTATTGACAGGGCATCCTTTGGCAGACAGGCCCAGTGGTTTCTCTGGGGATTTGGGCTCACTTAGCATTTGGCGCTGCAGGACCCAAATTTGGAATGGTTCAACCCAAGATGGTCCAGCTTCAGCGGCTGCTCCCACATGCCCTGTGTGGTGTGTACTGGGAGTATCCAGGAAAGCTTTAGCCAGCCCAGGCTCCTGGGCTTGATTAGGTAGATCAGAGGGTAATGGTGCCCTAGCCTCCCCAGGGCTTAGGAGCTGGCCCCCAGGGCTCGCTACAATGTTCTTACACATGTTCCCAGCCAGCCGATGAAACCTTGCCCAACTCAAGATCTCTGAGGGAATTAAGGGATTTTTAAGAATCCAGTAGGTTCTGAGGGTTCTAGAAAGAAAGTCTGAGGGGTGGCGAGGGGTCGGGGGCGGGGTAGCCTCTGTATGATGGGATCAATAGAAAGAGAGCTTCGAATGGAAGATGATATCACTTAAATGGATTTTATGAGCTCTGCAATTACTGATCCAAAATGCAGAATGGCTAGAGGTGCCCCAGGAAAGTGCAGGCATTCTCACTTTGGAAACCAGATGTTTTTTTAGGAATTGTTATGATAGGGTGGCTGTGGAGGTTCTTCTTCTTCTTCTTCTTTTTTTTTTTTTTTTTGATGAAAGTCTCTGTTGCTGCTTGGAATTCAAATTTAAACCACATCCTCTATTTGCACGTGACCATGATGTGTCCTGAGTATATCCATTTAGTCCCATCCTCCCACCAACCTCTCATAACTATAATCAGTTTAATCCCTTTATCCTCAATCTGTGTGTTACAAATGACAATCATCACTCAGGTTATAATTAAACATGTGCCAGAATATGAACGCTTTCACACACTTGCTGCCTGAAAATCACCTCAATTACCAGAACACATGCATTTGTGTGTTCTCAGTGCGTGTACACACGTACATACACACACGCATATCTACACACACACACACACACACACACACACACACACACACACACCCTCTCCCTGCCTCCTGCATCTGACTAGGTAGAAAAAATAGACAAATTGCGCAAGCACCGTGTGACAGGCGGGACTTGATTCATTCAAAGGCAAGCCTGGGAGAGAGTCGGGGTCTAGGGTTCAGCTCCGTCCCCTGCTCCTTCTCCTGCATGAGGGCCTACTGTGTCCTCCAATCAGGTTCCACAGGTCCATGCCCCTCGGGCCCTGGCAGATCCTCGGCTGTGAAGGATGGAGCCAAGTGTGGGCTCACCTCTCAGAGGAAGTGGATGGCTGGAACCCCACACAGTGTTTAGTTATTATCTGTTGACCTCGAAACTCAGTTAACCTCAGAAGCATGGTTTCTGAAAATGCTCCTTTGCTGAGTTTCGGTGGTGTCGCCGACCTGGTGCCGTGTGCTGTCTGGTCCTGAAGGAGGGAGAAGCACAAAAGACTGATGGGGACACATGTCCCTGCTCTCTGGCGGCAGCATCCTGGTGGGTGTCTGTGGCTGACGTGTGGACCGTGGCTCTGTCCCCTGGAGCCTGGAGCAGCTTGTGCCTTTGCTCACAGAGGACAATGGCCTGAATTTTCAGTGACAGTTTTTTTTCTCATTGTGTTTGGGAAGTTGTGGCTCCTTAAAAACCGAAGTCTGCCTTGGTTTCCCATTGCTGCTTTAACAAATTACCACCCCATACATGTGTTGTTTTATAGTTCTGGAGGGCAGAAGTCCAGCATAAGTCTTGGGCTACAACCAGGAACTGCGTTCTGTCTGGAAGCTCTAGAAGATAATATATTTTCTTGCTTTCTCCTGCTTCTGGAGGCTGCCTGCCTTCCTTGGCTTGTGGCTCCCTTTACCTTCAAAGCCAGCAAAGGCCTGAAATGATATACAAAATGTGGAATGTGCGTACATATATGTATTTCTCCAGGAAGAAGATCTGCAGACTTCATTAAGTTCCTAAATGGTCTATGATGCCCCAAATGTAAAGAACCACTGATGTAGCATGAGATATGATAGATAATGCCATGCTTTATGGGAGGCGCTAAGCCACGTGTACTCCACTGGCACAGAGAATGTTAGGGCAGGGCATCTGACCCTTTCAGTTGAGAGAGAAAGAAATACAAGAAGGGACTAGATGGGCTTGGCCAAGGTCAACAGTGGCTCCATCAGACTCTGCCCTCCAATCCTGTGCTCTAACCATGCACCCTGTGGGGCATTTTCTGTGGGTTTCTCTCCTCAGAGCTTCAGAAAGTGTAGTCCAACGCTATTAGTAGTGGCTGAGCCCAGTAGGCCTGGGGTGACTGCTCTCTGGAGCTTGGCGGTATGGGTCACTGGCCAAAGGCTTTTTAAAGAAGTAGGAATGTACTTGTTCAGAAAACACAGGGTTGGCCTGTTCTTTGAAACACATTTTGTTCTCACGTCATTTAAATAGAACCATTTCATCGAACTAGAAAACTGTCTATCTCCTCGTTGTAACAAAAGGAGTCCGTTTGGCTCTTACTAGCAGGACCGATGAGTTCATTTATCCTTTCACAAGTGATGGGTCAACTTCGATGAGAATTCTAAGCTGCAGAGCTGGGAGTGCACAAGGTGGTGGCCTGGGAAGCCGGGCCTTAGGCTTGCCCTGTAGTTTTGATGAATCTCTTGCAGTTCATGGAGGAAACTAGGGAGGTGAGGAGCAGGGGACGGAACATGGGGCTCAGGGCCCGAAGATCTGAGTTCTGCCCTCTCGCCTGGAGCTGCCCAGTGAAACTCCCTGCAATGGTGGAGGGTTCCATGCCTTACTGTCCACGATGGGGCCACTTGCCGGACGCAGCTACCGAGCATTTGGATTGTGGCCGGCGCGACCAAGGAACTGAATTTTAAACTTTATTTCTTTTGAATTAATTCGAATTTAAGTGCAACTAGCCACACTTGGTGAGTAGCTACATATTAGATCGTGCAGCTCTAGCTTTTCGGCTTACCAGCTGTGTGAACTTGGCATGAATCACCTGACTTTTGAGCCCCGTTTAGATGACTAAGAGGTAGACTAAATAATAATCATCTTAAATGGTTTTTCATTTCTAACATTCTAGAATTCAAGATGATTATTTTATGTGTGGCTTAAAAGAAATGAATGCATTTTCTTATAAAGAAAAATTTCGGCTACCGGCAAGTCGGTAACTTGCCGGAGGTCACAGAGCACTAGTGCCAGGCTCTGGACTCAGTGCTCTCTCGTAAAAGCCCTGCATCCCCTCCAGCACCGAGTGCCTCTGGCATTGCCCCCATCCAGCTTCGGAGAAGGCATTACGATGGGAGACCCCTCCACGTAGGCTTTTATCCTGGGGCCGGAGCCTGCCCATAGCGAGCCCTGGACTTGGCCTTGATGCAGACAGAACATGCCAGGCCCTCACTCCCTCACCTGCGGCCCAGGTGCTCTCTCAGTTCTGGTGCCCAGGGCGCCTCTCCTGCTCCTGCTAGCCTGCTGGGAACCCTCGGGGGTGCAGGCGCATTGCATAGTGACTCTGATGGACTAGCGGCACAGAGACTGATTTTCAGGCACAATCCCTACACCTTCAAAGGGTGTGTGTGCACATGTGTAAGAAGGAGATGTGAGCTGAGCACCTGAGTCGTTATATACCTGGCCTTTAGGAAAATGTCCACCAGGTTTTAAAAACGAGGTGGCTGTCATTGAAATCAGATCAAAAGCTTCATCATGGCAATTGGGAGGAATACTGATTCTCACGTGCCAACCGTTGGCAGCATTTGCTTGCCCGGGGCAGGCGAACTCACAAGTGTCGCACTTTCTATAGGCAAATTTGGTGAGGCATGATTTAAGGACTTCAGCTTGGGGGAAATCCACCTGATAATTTCACATCCTCTTGCTGCCCCAGGCAAGGGTTTCATTTGAATGTGTCCTAATTTGGGGGTAAAGGGTTTTTTGTTTGGGCTGTTGTTGTTTACATTTTTAAAAGCTTAGAACCCTCAGCAGAACCTGGCTTTTTCCGGAGGAAGGAATCTTCAGTGACAAGAGCTCAGGCCCCCCCTAGTGGATTCCGGGCGGCAGGTGGGCTGCTGGGCTGGGGGCCAGTCCTGCTTTTGAGCCTGTGAATTTCTCTGACCAATGCTGGCCTTGGGCTTCTACCTAAGTCTGCACCCATCTCTCCTTTTGTAAGATGAGGGTGCCCAGGGCAGCCCTCATTCACCCTCTCTCTCCCCACTGACCTGAGCTGGGGAGAGATCTCTTGGTGAGAAGGACCATAAACTCCAGGTTTAGAGTGTTTGCATCTTGACCCCAAATAAACAACAGTTGTGTCCCTTACCACCTCATCCCCAGAAAGGTTTGTTCTGTGATCCACTAAATTCTGCAGAGACTTCTTGGCCAATAGTTGAGGATACATTTAGATTGTCTAGTTACTGTAAATGGCTACTCTCTCACCAAGGCTGCCCACCCAGGTTCAGCTGTCATGCAGGCAAAATTTGCCTCAGGCACAAACCCACTTCCCCTCGCCACCCTCCCTTTATTCAAACCCTCCCACTCATGTTTCCTTTTCCCAGCCCTGGCTCTCAGCTCGCTGCCTGATAAACCGATTCACAGTGACTGGTCCTAAGCACTAAGGCCCCTCCCCAAGAAGGAGCATTTTAGCAGCTGGTGACTTTGCTCCAAAAGAGCTGCTGGCTGAACCCCAGAGGCAGAGACCGGGAACGGGACAGGATAAATGGAATAAACAGAGACGGGGGAGGAAGAGTTTGCCGCCCAACAAACTAGGCTCTGAGAACTGCTGCCAGATCAGCGAGCTGGGCACATCGCTTTGTTTTAGTTTCCTCAAGAGGAAATGGGATGAAGGTCACTCCCTTAAGGGCTCGCTGTAGTGATTAAATGAGGTACATGTGCAAAGTGGCCTGGTACACCGGGCTCTCTACACGAATATTAAAAATTAGTTCCAAGAACTGGGTGAGTTCTGTATCGTTCACTGTTCTGTGAGCACCCAGCACGGAGCCACTTTGAAGATGTTCATAGATCGATTTGTGAATGAATGGGGTGTCGTTGGCTGATGTGTTTCTTTCTGTACGTGGGGAGTGGGCTCCCAGGGTGACTGTGAGCTTTATTGCCTGACTGGGGGCTCTGCTGGCTCCTGGAGAGAGACCTTATGTGGTGAGGAGCTGGCTTCTGCTTGCGGCATTTATTCTGTGATTGCCCAGGGCTTTCAGTGGCCAGAAAAAGGGCAGCCATAATAGGGTTTTGAGGTTGGTAAAACGAATGTGGCAAGGAGTAAACAGCAACCTTCGCATCTCATAAGAACCAGAGGCTCATGAGGAGGGCTGTGTTGGGGCGTGTGGGAATTCAGTCCCCCAGAATGAAAATCTCCCATTCCAGAGAGACCAGTTTAGGGTTCTGGGGGTCAGCTTGGACTCCCCTGGGCCTGGAAACAAAGCTGGAAGGGAGGGCACTTCTTAGGGAGCGAGGGAAGGTGTTGGCTGCACTGTGCACTGTGGGCAGGCATTTGCTTGCTTCTCCTGGCCTTAGGCAGACTCATCTGGCCTTTGGAGACTCTTGGCTGAGAGTCTGTCGTCTTGGAGTCTCGTGTCAGAGAGGCCACGAGGCCAGCTCTTGCTGCAGGGAGCTGAGGGCACCATCCCTCAGCTCTCCTCTCCCTGAACTCCTGAGCCTCTGAGGTCCCCCCTCCACCTGCCCCCAGCTGGGGCCACTGCAGGCTGTGGTCCTGATCAGTGTCACCAGACCCATGCCCTGCTCACCTTTGCCCCCTCACAGGCACTGGGGTCAGTTTTCCTCCCCGTCCCCTGACCACGCACCCATCAAAGGTGTTGGGGATGGAAAGCTGGCGTTCCCACTGTTAAAAACAGATGTGTAGTCACAGAAAAGACAGCAATCAGGAAATAATTTTTAAAAGAGTTGTGGCAGTCACATGTTTACTTGAGAACTGACTGAGGATAAACTTCGCTGCAGCCGAGAGATGCATGTGTTCAAGGTGAGGAGGGGCAGATTTACTTTAGCCAGTTTGTGATGTCTCAGTGTTGTCTGCCTTCTGGGCGACTGGATTTGCTCTCCCTCTCCCTGCTGCTCTCCCCAGTGGCATCTAGGGGTGTTGAGACCTGGTGTTGGCTGGAAAGGGGGTCTGGGCCATTCGCTGGCCTCTGCTGCACAGTGGCTGAGCTGGCCTGGCTTCTTGAATAGTCAGCATAGAGGTCATTGGTTCCATTTGACTTTTCGGGAGCCATGCTGGCTTAAAGTGCTGTCCTTCTCATGGGGCCCATTTGTCTATCCCCAGCCCTCGGACAATCCATCATGCTTGGGGGGCATGAAGCAGACCCAGGGGTGTTGCCTCCTGCTCACCTATTGGCCACTTTCTCCCAAGGCAGCCCTGTAGCCCTGTAGCCCACAGAACCAAGGATTTCTGAGGGGCTTGCCCTCCACTCCCCAAGCTGTGCTGAGAGACAAGCCTTCAGCCTCCTCTTCGCACTCATCTGGATGTTTCTATGTCTCCCCTCCCATTCTGGCTCGGCTGAGCGAGCGGAGCAGGCAGGGGCTGCAGGGCGAGGACCCTGTGAGGGGCCCCTCCTCATTCTCCCTGATCTTCTTTCTTTGTCAGCCTCTGCTGAGGAGGAGGAGTCTAGCTTTCCACTTCCTCTTTCTTTTTTTATTCTTCTTAACCACACAGCCCCATTGATATTTTCTCCTTACTGTTTGCATCAAACTCACAGCTTAGCCTCAATGGCCCAAGGCCTAGTTTTTCTAAACTGGAAGGTCTGACAGGTCTAGGCCAGAAGGCCTGGTTTCTTATAGTTACTGGAGCGATAGGAGTTTAGAGTTCTCTTGTAACCCCACAAAGCCTGACTTCAATACTCCCGATTAGTGTTTTCAAAGACGCCCCATTTTCTCCTTACAAACCTGGACCTATCCTAACCCCCTCTCAGAAAACAGCAGCAGAGGCCACACTGAAAAGAAAGCCCAATAATGAAAATCTGGAGTCATCCTCGTGTGCACGTGGGCCACTGCTGCATGCCAGGGGCGGGTGTGTCACAGTGACCCCTGGCTCTCTAAGAACCTAGGCATGCCTCTGCCACCTCATGTACGACTCCACAGGCTGCAGTCACACTGTCCTTGATTTGGTCCCCAGATGTGCCAAGCCCTCGCATGAGACCCAGGGGTGCTGCCAGGCCAGGCCAGCCCATGCATCGGGGTCTTTCCAGCCACCTCTTCCTTTTGCCTGGGCTGCTCCTCCTCCAGCTGCTCGTGAGACCAGTTTCTTCTCAGCCATTCATTTATTCTACACATTTTTACTGAGCCCTTACCAATTGTCAGGTGCTGAGCTAGGTGCTGCGAATTCAACGGAGACCAAAAAGAACTTATGATTTGGAGAGGAGGAGCCCCAGTTCATCCCATGGTGAGGGTGAGCATCTCACTGTGATGAGTGCCACGGGGGGAAAGTCAGGGGCCGCGAGGACTTATCATGGGGAGTCTGCCGAGTTTAGAGGGCAGAGGAGGCTTCTCTGAGGCCTCGAGGCCTCAGACGTGAAGCCGAGACCTGAAGGAGGAGGGGAGCGGACTGGCTGAGAGGAGCGGGAGAGCCGGTGCGGAGCCGGTGCGGAGCCGGTGGGAGGTTCTGTGCTGGGAGTGGAGGAACCTGCCTGGCCGGGGCGAGGGCTGAAGGCGGTGCCGGTGGCTGAGCCGGAAGCGGTGAGCCGAGAGTGATGGCATCATGAGGCCAGGCTGCATCCCATCCACAGCAAAGTCCACCGGATTTTGTCTGATCTCACATCTAGTCTCCTGTCTCCCTTTCCAGCAAAACAGCACTGAGCTCCCTTGACTAAGTCTGAGGGATGTTCCCAGGCCTCGCTGGTCCCTCGAAGCAGCATTCGGCTGCCTCCTTCCTGTGGCGTCTGCGATGCGGTCCTCTTCTGGTTCACATCCTTCTTTTCTGATAGATCCTGTCTGTCTTATTCGTAAGATTGTCCTCTTCTACCTGTAAACAGCTACCGAGTTCCAGAGTTCTTCCAGGTCCGGCCCCAGGCCTCTCACTGTCTCTCCAGGCACACACATGGCACACACATTTTATCACCCAGACCTCTCTCCTGAACCCTAGCTGTTTACTTAACATTTCCACTTCGAGGTCACAAAGGCTCCGCCAACTAGCTGTGTGTCCAAGACCAGTCGCGGGGTCGTTCCAAGCCTCGCCCTCCTCCAGAATCCCCCTGCCTCAGCCAGGAGCCCACCGTCCCGTCGTACAAGCCCGAGATCTGGAAGCTTCCTCAGTGCCTTCTTCTCTGCTACTCCAATCTCCGCGTTTTGGAGATTTTACCTTCTAAATATCTCTCCAGTTCACCTGCTCTTCTCCCCCTTATGGGTCAGCACCCCCTCCGTCCAAGTCGCCATCTGTTTTTGCTTCGACAACAGCTTCTTCACTGGTACCTCAACCTCCTCTCGCTTTCTTCCAATTTACTGTCCTGTGTGCCTCCAAGTTGAGCTTTTTGAAAGGTACGTTGGACCCCATCCCATCCCATCCCATATTGCCCCAATCTTAAAACCCTTCTACGACCTCTCATTCCTCTAAGGAGCAGGGAAAATCTTCAGTAAGGCTTGCAAGGCCCTGCCTGGTCTTGAGCTTCCTCTCACACTCTCTCCTTCCTGCCTTCGTGGGTGTCTTAGGTGGAATTGGTGGGGCACGTTGGCCTCCTTGCTCGGACTCGGGAAGCCCAATAACTCGGTTACAACCCTCTCTTAGAGTGAGAGTATTCTGCAGATGGCTACTTTATGTGTCCATTTTATGTTGATCCTCATCAGCTTATGTGAATAAGAGGATCTGGTCTCTTATTCCTTGGAATGACCTCGCCTTGGAGCCTGAAACCCTCTACAAACTATCACAAGTGGTTCCAGTTAAGGGATATATTTGGTGCAAAGAAAGTACTATGTTTAAAATGCAGACGTGTCCGATTCTCTTTGATGATGAGACTATGATCCAGGATATTCTTGGGGGAAATCATTCCTTAGGAACCCTTTCGGCATCTCTACAGATGCTTTGTTTTCCCATTGCAGCCATGGAAATAAAGAAGTCTTCTCTTGCCGGGGAATCCAGCTGGCTGTGGACTGGTTCAGGGACAGAGGACATACCTACATCAAAGTGTTTGTTCCGTCCTGGAGGAAAGAACCACCAAAAGCTGACACCCCTATTAGAGGTATGCTGGAGCAGAGTCGTGCTCCTGACAGTTACGGACAGTTGGTTATGACTTAGCTCTTTGTTTGATGATGTCTGTCTTCCTCCCTGGACTATAAGCTTCATGAAGGCACTGGCTATGAATGTTCACTGCCATGGTCCTGACACCTAGCATGACACCTGCCACAGAGTAGGCGCTCAGTAAATAGTTGTTCAGTAGGTGAATGAACAAATTACTTCATCTTTTAGTGTGAATGATTAAGTTCCAACTTTGAACACTCTGCAGAAAGATCGAATCTGCATCCCACGCCACATAGAGTATAGTATCTGAAGGAGATAGTCATTCGATCCAGTGATATTTATTTACTGAACAAGTAGTCTTGTCTCTTCATTAAAAAAAGAAAAAGGAAACTGAGACCCAGAAAACTCTTTATTTCTAATTCTTATATCAGCTGGGAATATTTTAAGCTACAAATAAAAGAGTGGGTGCTTAAATAAACAGGGCCTTTTTGTTTGTTCGTTCATTTGTTTGGCTTTCTTATAAGAAGAAGTCAGATGCTAAGCCATCATTGACATTGTTTTAGCCAAGTCAGTGTTGGTAGGACTGAACTCTTGGTGACTGTGGGAGATTTCTTTGACTTTGTCTTCCAGCCTTTTTGCCAAAAGTTTTTTTTTGTTTGTTTTAATTCTATCAATGGTTATCAAGTGTTTCTACTTCTCTTTCTGATTGTCTCTCTTTATTTTTTTAAATGAAATATTATTCTTGTCTTATGGATGCAGTATCTTCTTGACTATTTCTATACTAATACAGACTTTCAAAAAGTTTCCTTAGGTTTCACATTTATTTTTTCCGGGGTCGGTTGTCTTTGTTCATCTCTCTTTCTCTCACTTTTTGTGCTAAGTCTTCTCAAAAGTCTGGTGACACTTTGGCTGTCAGTTTTTCCTTCTTAATTAAGAACCAGATTGGTTGAATCACAAATCTATGTGATCGCCATGGGTTTTCTCTCCCAGTATGTGGATCTTTCCCTGAATGGTAGGGCTGACCGCCCGCCGGTGCTGACCAGCAGATTTCACTTTAGCATGCCCTGCACGGAGGCTTCTTCTGCCCTGTAGGATCGATATGATCCTATCTGCTTTCTCTCTTCCTAAAATCTGTCAAAATCCTGGGTTTACTACTGTCCCCAAGCCCATTTTTAATGTGATTAGGGAGATTTCTTTCCCCTCCTCCTTTTGTACTTCTTTACTGCCATTTCAATGGGATTATGAGAAGGAGGGGGGTATAAATACTTGTGTTCGCTTCTCCATCACGAACTGGTTACCCTAAATTATTCTTTATGGTCTGAACATGGAGAATGGCGGTTTTTAACAGTTGTGTAATATTTAAATCTAGTATGGGTAGAGAGTAAGGAAATTATTCTGGGGTAGGGAAGGAATTTTTAAACGAGCCACAAGTGCAAATCTATGGGAGAAAAATTCATAAATTTGACTACATCAAAACAAAAGTCTGTTCATTCGAGGATTCCCCAAAAGCAAAAAAAAAAATAAAAAGATGAGCCTCAAAACAGGAGAGGCTATATGTCACATATTCCTGATGAAGGATTGCCATCCCGAATCTATACAGAACTTCTTAAAATTAATAAGATGACAAAGGACCAATTGAAAGATGAACTAAATAAAAAGCATAACAGGCTTTTCACAGAAGAAAAAGCATAAATGGCCAATAAACATACAAAAAAGATTCTTAATCTCACAAGCCACCCTAGACCAACCAGCAACTAGAGAAACGCAAAATAAAACCACAGCGAGATGTCACTTTACACCCACCAAACTGGCAAAAATTTGAAAACCTGAAAATGCCAAGATTGTCTTAAATGCTGTGTTGGGTAGCAACTTGATATAAGCACTTTGGAAGACAACTTGGCATTATCTTGTAAAGTGCTTTTCTCTGCAACTCAGCCTGCTCAGGCTGCTGTAGGTACACCCTAGAGAAACCCTGTACTTCTAGAAGCACCTGGAGACTTACATGCAGAACTGACAGCAATGACCATGCCAAACCAACTCAACAGTAACTGAAGAAAGCAAGTTGCACAAGAGTATGTGCAGTTTGATCTGTTTAGACTTTACACAATCACATTGAAAATGGTCCTCTTGGGGATACATACACATCCATTTAAAAAAGTGAAAGCAAGGGAATTATAAACACAAAGTTCTAAAGATTGGTTATCTTAAGAGAAATAAAGAGAGCTACACACTGGGAGGGGTGACGGGGACTTCAAAAGCATGAGCCGTATTGTGGTTCTCACAAGGAACGTGGCATTTAAAAAATTTTTTTCTTTGTACTGTATGTGCCGTATGCACTTTTTTAAAGTCTGGAATTTATGTCACATAGAAAAGAACTTAGACTTGAGGGAAGGAATCCTTTGTGAAGCATATGCTAATATTCTACTGAGTCTGGAGCAACTGTTTTGTATAGAAGGGATTTCTTTTGGGTGTCTCCAAAGGCAAAACTGAAGTCCAAGGGTAGACCTCCCAGAGAATGGAATTGAGCTCCTGATGAGACCTTGTATCATTTGTACCACCTGATACATGTTTACCACCTGATACATGTTTACCACCTGATACATGTTTACTTCCTCACCAGTCTTATAGGCACTGAGGCATGTGGAGGCGTTATTATATTCATTTATAAATGCAAACACTAGCATTCAAAGAGGGGTTCAGTACCTAAGAGCGGGAGCTAAGACCAGGATCTAGGCTGTGGATTCTTAATCCTGGACTCTTCCCTTGACATTCTTGTGTCCCTCAGAGCTGTCAGTTATGAGATGCTCCATCCTGAATGTGTCCCAAGCAGATTCCTGTACCATAGGGAAGGTGGACCGTGGCTCTCGGCTTCGGGCCTGTGCAGGAGCCTTCCAGGTGGATTCAAGGCTCCTGGAAATTCTGAAGGCATTGGCAGGATTCCAGTTAAAATATGAATGTCTTTCTCTAGAAAAAGGCTTTTTGTGTCTAAAGTGACTCTTCCTCGTGGGGTGCCATACTCTGGACTCCTGTCATGACACAGGCAAGACAGAAGCCGAGAGCCCTCTTGACCTTGGGCAGCTGGCTTATTCTGCTCAAGACCTCCACGCTCACCTGACGGGCTGGGCCATGGGGTGGGGAGGCCGGAGTTGGCTCAGACAGATGATTCCTGAGCTGCCGAATGTGCTCTGGGGTCTTAGGATGGTTCTTAGGGGCGGGGACTGCTTCTGAGAAAACTGCTACATGCTATCTCTCCCGCCCGCCCTGCGGCCCCCAGAGCAGCACCTGCTGGAGGAGCTGGAGCGGCAGGCGGTGCTCGTGTGTACCCCCTCCCGCAAGGTGAATGGCAAGCGCGTGGTCTGCTATGACGACCGCTACATCGTGAAGGTGGCCTATGAGCGGGATGGCGTCATCGTCTCCAATGACAACTACCGTGACCTGCAGAGTGAGAACCCCGAGTGGAAGTGGTTCATCGAGCAGAGGCTGCTCATGTTCTCCTTTGTCAATGACCGGTACGTGGCGGCCGAGGGCGTCCCGGCACGGGCGGGCTGGGGCTGACCGGCAGAAAGCCACTTCGACCAGCTTAGGCCCCGCGGGGCCGGGGTCACAGGCACGCCGCAGTGGAAGCAGAGGACAGCCAGTCCAGGAGACAGCCTGTCAGGTCACCTTCTCTGCTCCCCCAGGCCGCACAGCCTGTCTCTGTTCCCCTGAGTCTCCTCTCTTTCGTGACCAGCTTTCCCGCGAAGGGCTGTTTTGCCTCAGTTATCCGTGACCTTTCTGTTCCCATGTCCATTTCTAGCTGACCCCCGACAGAGCTGCCCAGCAGGTGGGCTTGGGACACCATATACTTTTTGTTTTTATTTTTAAAGAACTTAATGCTTCAAATAAGAGTATTGGAACAGTCATCATGGAGAAAATTTGAACGTTGTTGCACACTTCCTTTTACTTTTTTTTTTTAAGTTTTGAACGCACAGGGAAGCGGGCAACTTCATCTTTGGAGCCGCCAAGGTCTTGGAACTGATTCTGTTATGGAAATATTTCTTGGTTGAAATTTGCAAGAGAATCTGGTTGGTTCTTCTATCCCTTAAGTTGGTTCCCCCGGGGTTAAAGCCACCCTGGACCAACCAGTTACAGCTGGGAGATGTCAGGGTCGCAAGGCACAAACCTGTCAGCAGGTGCTGGGCGAGGGCCTCCAGGCAGAGCTAACCTTGGGAGGAAGCCATGGCTGGCCCACTGCAGTGTGCTCGGGCATGCTGAGGGCAGAGGCTAAGAACACGGCAAGAAGGGCGGTCTGAGACCAGCATAGGGCTGGATGGGGCGGGGAGGGCACAGCAGACTGGGACTACACTCTCTCTTCACCTCCCCTCTCAGATAATGACCCCTCCATCCTCACTCTGGGCTCTCTGACTGGCTTCTGGGAATGTGGTTTGAGACCGTCTCTTCAGCTCTGTGAGGGCAGCCACTGCATGTGTCTTATCTGGCACGGCCTGCGTTCCTGACACATCACAGGCACTCGATAGCTAGTTGTAGACAAAACGAGCCAGCGAGTGAATGGCTACGGCCCTGGGAAGGAGAGGATGCAGAGGATGCAGAGAAAGAGGGGGCGTGCGGCACTGGGTCGGGCCACTTGCACATGGCAGACTAGTCCCTGATCCCACTGCCTGGGGAGGCAGTGTGGTGCAGTGGAGGCAGGAGGTGCCCTGCAGTAGTAGCCCCCATGGTCATTTCCACATACACGAGGACAGCGGCTTCCTCTACCCTGCTCAGGCCCGGAGGAATCTGGCAAGTCTGGTAACTGTGGGTTGCAGAAAAACCTCACTGAGGTCTGATGGATCATGGCTGCCTCTGGCCTGGCAACAGCCTGGGGCTCACGCCAAGTCCTTTTGACGCAGTGGCCTCTGCTAAGGGACTGCCAGAAAATCCCCCAGTGGCCAGGAGGCTGAGCCCGCCCGCCTGCCTGTGGGCAAGGATGCCCACCCTAGCACCCCGGGCACGTCCATAGGGGCCCTCCTGGCCCAGCTTGCAGCTGCGAGGCCAACAGAGAGCAGGAGGTGAAGCCTTTGGGAACTTTTATTAACCGCAGTGGCAGCTGGCTTATTCTGCTCCCCAGTGGGCGGCTCCCCAGATTCTTGGTCAGGGCCCAACTTTGAGCTAGCTGGCTGGGATCTGAGCTGCGGAGGCTGCCAGGGACCAGAGATTGCCCAGCTCTGGGCCGGCCTGGTGGACGCGGTCTGCAGGGTGGGTCCTCGGCATAACCTGTGACTCTTAGGGGACATAAACCCGTAAAAACAGGACCCCATTTAGAATCCACAACCTTGCCAGTGGAACCTTTGTTTGACCTGGAGGTGCCTCTTGGGAACAAAAGTATTGCTATAGAAGTGGGCGGCACTAAATGCGGGGAGTTTTCCTCCCGAGGAATGATGTCCCCTGGAGCCAGGGGCACCCTGGAGGTGAGTTCCCTTCCTTGTTAGACTTAAGCCCAGAGAGAAAGGGAGGGGCAGGCAGGAGGCGCGGTGGTGTCAGAGGACAGGGCCAGGGCCAGGCAGCCCCAGGAGCTCAGACCAAACCCACCTGGAGCCCCGGGTCTGCACGGAGCCTCTGTGTGCAGGCTGCACTGAGGATCCGCTGCCTCTCTGACTCGCCGACTGGCATTTCAAACTCTCTGTTGACATTTATCCCCACCCTGTCTGTGCCCAGAGCTGTGGGGCAACTCTGCAGAAGAGGGATGTGAGCCTCAAGGAGCTCAGAGGAGGAGGGCTGTTTGTAGCCCCACGGAGGTCTCGAGCCTTCTGTTGGGGACAACGGGATGGCAGCTCAGAGTCACTTTCAGACTAAGACCCAAGGGGGCCTGAGAACAATTACGCTTCAATTCGAGTGGAAAAAAGTCACCTGGGGCCTTGTGAAATTGCCCATTCCTGAACAACTGCAGGTTCTAATTAAGCAGGTCTATGGGAAGGAGGTGCTGGGTGATTCCGGCACTGCTGGCTTGAACCTCAGCAGGGGGAACTCTCGGGAGAGGCCCGCGGGCTGCCGTCTGGGATCCGTGCTGTGCCCTA